GACAAATAAGAGCATGAATCTCCCTATAAAAGTAGGGCATGTTAACTGTCCATTTTCCACAGAGTAAAGAGATGCAGCAAACCAGGGCAAAAACAATCCCCCAAGGGCACAAAATGGTGCTTTTTAAAAAGTCTGCTCTATAATAAAGCCTTCCCACAGAGACTACTCAGAACAACTCAGACCTAGATTCTGACGTTGAAAGGTAGACTCATACCTTGAAAAATCCTAAAAATAACCATCGTTTACTAAACATTGCTCTCCAGGCTCTGCAGATATGTGTACTGTCTCATTTAATTCATGCATCAACCCTATAAGGTAGACACTATTATCTCCATTTCAAAAAGAAAGAAACTGGGACTCAGAAAAATAACAGTCCTAGGAACATACAACCTCTGAGTGGAAGAGCGAGATTTCAAATAGGGTTACTCTGACCTTTGATATGCGGAAGGCTTACTGTTTCTAGTAAGAATCATAAACAGATGCATAAACAGAGACCTTCATTGCATTGTGTCTAAGCCTCCAAAGGTATGAGACAACCTCAGGAATATTTACCCTCAACTCTCGACCAGTCCTCAACCTTAGGGTTCATCAGGGTCACTTAGAGGGCCCCTTAAAACACAGATGGCTGGGCCTCTGCCCAAGATTTTCGGATTTGACAGGTGTTTGTCAGTGTGGCTTTGGGAGCCATCCTTGGAGAAACCCTGTGCAGTCACTCTAAACCTCAAGGCCTGAGCTGCCTCACCTACCTAATTAACCTTTCACAGTTCAGCCCCAGGTCCCTGGGGGTGTTGCTTGAAAAGCTATAATGTTATCTTTGGCAGTGCTGTGCCTTTTGGAATTCCCTGAGCTCTTTTTGAAAACAGTGAATATCTCCCACTCCAAAAATAATGTACTGTTGTTGCCTTGAGTAAGTCCTGAGATCCCATGAAATGTGGAAAGAGGAGCCTGGAAGAACCAGTGTGAAAGCAAAGCAGCCAGGGACCCTGAAGCCAGACTGGCTCTCTAGAAGGTACAGACGGTCTTTTCATAATCTCTTGGGATTCCCTCTAGGAACTGTCACAAGAGGGCACTCATTAAAACCTCTTCAGAGACTGCACGTTAAGAACGTTAAAACAGCTGTAAGTGTGAATGGCTGGCCCTTTAATGCCCCTCCCCCCACACGTCCTCCATCTGAAGAGGAACTGGGAGCTGAGGCGGAGCTCAGTCTCACTGAGCTGCTAAGGAAATAAGAAGCCTGTGGTCCAGGCCTGCTCACACAGAAGTGAGGCTGGAGAAAGACGCCAGGAATTGGGATTAGCAGATTTAATGCCTGACTTGTTTATCCTGCGGGAAACATCACCTGGTGATGTCCCCACTGACCCCTTTAGAGCGTGGCATTTTATCCTCAGCTTCTGTGGACTGTGACAATAAATGAACAGTTTGATGACAAAGCCAAAGGATTCATCCGTGGAGGAAAAACAACTACAAAGAACACATGCAAAGGAGGACTGGGTCACAGCAGGCCTCTCTCTATTCCCACGGCTGGTTGTGTGTGTTGCCGGGGTTGCTGTGAGAAGGTGCTATTTCCAGAGAAGTTCTCAGACACAAGTGTGAGGGGACTCGGGCACCAGGAGGAAGCCTTTTGAAAGCAACTACACCTTCATCATGAAGCGCTAAGGGCAGCAGAATCCGTGAAAGGCAAGCTCTACTCAGGGATGAAAACAACCAAATGTTTTGGGGCATGTTGATGAATTCTCCAGGAGAGTGGCTGGGGTTGGGGGGCGAGGTGTAACGGGACTCTACAGATGTCAGGATGATCCAGACTACTTTAGAGGGTCTGTATCTGAGCTCAGAAGTGAGAACTACTGAATGTTGACCACCATGCTACCATCTAAGGCCACAACAAAGACTACTGGAAACAAAAGTATGCCAGAAAAAAAAAGAGTGAAAAGATTAGACATTTACTAATACTATACGTCAAGCGCTCTATTCAGTTCTTTCTTCTTCAGTTATCATGGCAACTGGATAAAATCGGTGTTATTATTATACCCAATTTACAGATAAGGTAACAAAGAAAACATGAATTTAACCAATTTGTTTACACTCACCCAGCAGGTAAGTTTGGAATTGGAATTCAATTCAGATCTGATTTTAAACCATAATCTTAAATCTTTATCCCGTGTTCCCTCCAAACAGTGCAGAACATATTTTGAGTCCTAAAACTCTAAAATACCAAAAGACAGAGCAGAACACAGAGGAGCATCTCTCTAATGTCCCATCACTGGGGCAGAGGTTTGCTGAAAAGTATGGGGAGGTCACCCACGGAAGATAGAAGCTCTGTCCAGCTCAGTCCATGAAAACTGTGACTCATGAGTCAACAGCCAGGGATAGCCCTGAAGAGAAGGGATTATACAAGAGGAGTCAGGACAGCAGGGAAGGGGAGCCATGGCTACTCCTTTTCCATCTTCTGTCAAGAAGATGGGTTCCTTCCTCCTACACTGCTGGTAGGAATGTAAATTGGTGCAGTAAGGCAGTTCCTCAAAAAGCTTAAAATAGAGTTGCCATATGATCCAGCAATCCCACTCCTCGGCACACACCCAGATAAAACTATAATTCAAAAAGATACATGCACCCTTGTGTCACAGCACCATGGTTTACAACAGTCAAGACATGGAAGCAACCTAAATGTCCATCAACAGATGAATGGATCAAGATGCAGTATATATATACAATAGAGCACTACTCAGCCATAAAAATGAATGAAATAATGCCATTTGCAACAGCGTGGTTGGACCTCGAGATTATAATACTAAGTGAAGGAAGTCAGAAAGACAAATGCCATATGATCTCATATGTGAAATCTAAAATATGACACAAGTGAACTTACCTACAAAACAGGAACAGATTCACACACAAAAAGAACAGACCTGTGGTTGCCAAGGGGGAACAGGGCTAGGGGAGGAATGGATTGGGAGTATGGGGTTAGCAGATGCATACTATTATATAGAGAATGGATAAACAACAAGGTCCTACTGTATAGCACAGGGAACTATATTCAATATCCTGTGATAAACCATAATGGGAAAGAATATAAAAAAGAACGTATGTATATGTATAACTGAATCACTTGGCTGTACAGCAAAAACAACATTGTAAATCAACTATACTTCAGTAATTTTTTTTTTTAAAGATGGGTTCTTAACATTGTTTTGAATTTGAAGGAGAGTCCTGGGCCAGATGCAGGTAAAATAATCTATGAACAGTTCCTATTTCCCACTTGCCTAGGAATATACACCAACTAGCACCATCAATGAAAGGGAGAATGTATTCAAAGTTAGTTCTGGACTCACCAGCCTGACCTGCAAAGTCTCTGTGAGAACAAGAAAAACCCTGAAATGGAGGCAGGATGGTAGGGCATGATTTCATGGCACTGCTTTGACTGAGCAGTTCTCACCTCTCAGATGCCTCCCATCCTGCAACACTTGGCAGTCTAAAACCACTTCCTTCTCCACCACATTATGCCATCACTGGCACTGGTTGCAAATTTGTCAATGAACTATTTTATGTTCTCCCCCTTGCCATCTGGAATATTAGCTCTCTAATGAATTGCTTTAACTTAGGCGTTTGTTTTTTTTTTTGACAAATGTGACTTTTAGTTGAATTATACAACATTCATAAATAGCAAATGCTGGCTGATTAGAATCAACGAAAACTCTTAAGAGCTGCCAGCAAAAATGGGCCCTTAGCTGCACATGTTACTTGCACAGCCTAATCATTTGAAAGGCACCAGATTATTTTTGGAAAGAACTTTTTACACATACACTTATATAATCTGTTATGCATGTGAATATATATATATATATGTGTGTGTGTGTGTGTGTGTGTATTCGAATTTGGGTGGATTCTTGCAAGCCAGCCAAGCTATGAATAGAAGAACTAGATACACTTGGATTTGAAGTTAGGCACACTTAGGTTTGAATCCTATCTCTACCACAAACTATGTGAACTTGGGTATGTTTCTTAACCTCTCTGTGTCTCTAGCTCCTTTAATGTAAAAGAGAGATAATAAATCCCATGCAAGACTGTCTCAGGGAGTAAATGAAATCATGCAGGGCACAGTGTCTGGATACAGTGTGTCTCAAAAATTAGTAAGTATTATCACCACAATGATGTTCTATTTATAGAGGATTATGCTAGACAACATTTGGAATCTCTATATTTGTTCCTTTCTGAAAATTGCCACCAGGATGGGTCTCCAAAGCCATATTTACATTATATGACACTGCTTTAGTGACTGGGCAAGATAAGGAAAATAAGGAAATGTGAATTGGCGAAATTTTTTAATGCTCACCCAGCCACTGGGTTCTTGATGTCATCTGGCAGATTCTCTTTCCTGAAAGTGTGGATTAGGAATCAGTTCCCACTGGTCCTCTGAACTAAGAAACTGCAAGACTGGTCACGTTTGGCAATGTGCATGTCAAGGCAATAAAAGTCAGTCTACTGAAAGATGTGGATGTCGGGAAAGAAGGAGGCCTGACTGAGACTTGAAGTCAGAGTGGTGCCTTGGTTCTGACAAGTTTTCCACTTCCACGAGAAACTCCATTTCATCAGTCTATCTATTAATCAATCTATCAGTCTCCCTTTTGTTTACTACTTGGAGTGGATTTCCAACATCTTTAACCAAAAGATCTCTGCTAACAGTGTCATCTCTGTGCATGAGGCCACCAGATTTTGTCTGTGTAGCTAGCTCAGATAGACTAAGTATTTGACATGTACCTGGTTATTAAAGAAAAGAAGTTTATGTACACACACGCCCTTTTGTTACCTGTTTCCAACCACTGAGGTACATTAAGAAGAAAATCAACATACTTGTGTATAATGATGTACATAAGGAAGTCACGCATGTAAGGAAAAGAAGAAAGAATTAAAAGAGAGTCACTGATATTCCTGGTCTTACAATAACAGGTCATCTGATGACTTTCCAGAATTCAAACAAGAAGGGCGAGACCCTGGGTCTTTACCTGGTGTCGCACTGGATACTGTCGGCCACTGCTGATCGGGTCCCCCTGGACCAGCCCGGAGAATGCCAGCCTCCTCCAGGTGCACAGAGCTGAGTGAACACACAGATCCAAATAAAAGTCAGACCATAAATGTCTTTCTAGCTCTCCTTCCACCCTCAGAAAGTGCTTACATCTCTGGAGGCAGGACTGCAGCTAACCATTTCTACTCGTGCTTAAACTGAAGCAATTACTACTGAGCAGTCACCTTGCATAAAATGCAAAAGCATTGCTGACTTACTGCCCGCTACACCATGCAGAAGATAAACGTGTTTTATCTTTATAGCAATTTTGGTTTTCATTAAAGCCGTGTGGTATTCATTAAATCTAACAGGAAGCCCATCAGAGGGCTAAAAAAATGCCACTTTATCATCTTAATGCTGAAGCAAATGAAGAGAGCTTATTTTCAAAAGCCCCAAGTTTCTTTTGCTGGTTCTCTGATTTCTGGGTTTTCTGTAGGACAGAGGAAAGCACAAACATTATTTGTTGGTAACTATAGTATTATTCCAGTTTTGCCCAATTATTTCCTAACTTTATTTTCTGTTTCATCATTCTTTATTTTTTCCTCAAAGAAAACCCACCCTACATATCCTGGGACTAGAGAAAGTTTATCACCATCATGGACCCCAATTCAGAAGAGATTAACTCCGCATGAAATACTGCAAAGGAGTGAGACGTGAACTGGGAGATCCTTAGAGGTAAGCAGAGATAGAACGTAAACTGTTCATGGGCAGAGAGAACATCATATTCATTTATGTGTGTGTAATGTAAGCACATATGAAACTCTCAAATATTTTTTGGATGAAGAAAGGAGCGAATGGGACCCTAAGAATAAATATCACCCAAGAAAACCCTCAGCAAGATAAGAGAACTCTCTGAAACTAGACAGTGATTCACCTTGGAAATTAAGTTACTGAAGTAAAACTTAGAGGACAACTGCCTGAAGGGGTCATGTGACTCAACAGAGCAGACAAACTTGAAATATTATGGGGAAGTTCTCTCAATTCAACATTCTTTTCCCTTTTTTTTGGCCACATCATGTGGCCTGTGGGATCTTAGTTCCCTGACCAGGGATTCATGCACCCTTAGCAGTGAAAGATCAGAGTCCTAACCACAGGACCACCAGGGAATTCCCAATATCCTCTTACTCTTTGACTTCAAACAACATATCTGGTGGAAATTCACTCAATAAGCTCTGCTCTATTGCTGTTCTTCCCTTCATCTATATACTAGAATCTTCTCTTTTTTCCAAATATTAATATCGTTCAGGTACTGTGGAAGGTGTTGCTGGAGCCTACCAACAAATTATATGGATTCAATTAGATTCTCTCTGAAGATATAACTACCCTGGGAACCAGCTCAGCTCAAGCAGAATTTTCAAAGGACAGGTACACAATATCTGAGGCTAGAAAGGTCAGGAAGCCAAGCATATGCGTGAAAAAGATGAGTATTACTTAAGATCACAACTTAACATATGTTCCATGTACTACACTGTGAGGAATAAATAACTTTTAGTTTTAATTTTTATTTCCTTTCTTATCCTACTTGAATCTTATGACATCTTAGTTGAAACCTGAATAGAAGCACATATGGCTTTTTTTCACTTGAAAATGGAATAAGGAAGTGATATATTTTAGCATTTTATTTTAATGTAGTTTTAAAGGTGAACCTTATAGCTTTGGTGCTTTTCAAATAAAGTACTAATTCAACTGGGAGATAAAGAGTTGGTAACATAAACCATATTTTTTCCTATCATATAGTCTACCACAATAGCTCAGATGCAGGAAAAAGCATAAGATAGCTTCTAACAAATAGAAAGAATATTTCTTAAACCTAGTATAATGGCATCTGCCCAAGTGTTTCTGGCCTAAAATTATGACCAAATTCTAGTGCAGTGTCTCATCAAGCTAACTACTGATCTTCAGTCTTCAACTGATCACTTCTTGTTCAGAAAGAGCACCCAATATAATGATTTCTGCTCAATGTGAAATAAAATGGTTAGGAATATACTGACTTATTTGAATTTAATACATTTTTAATGGGTTAAAGCCAATTTTTCATTAGCTCAACACATAATCTGTAAACTCTCTCTTTAGAAATTGATCAAGATTTGGTTAAAGATCTACTCAAAAGTTGCCCAGATATTTTGAGGGGCTTAACTCTGGAGTTTATTTCTTCTTTAAAACTAAATTATTCTGGTGGTAGTGAATATTAGTTGCTTGGTGCTCTCCATTTGGTTTCCCAAAGACATTCACAAATAATGAATCTTTTATTTGGCCTGTAGCATGAATACTAGATCAGGTCTGGGAATAATGGTAGTTAATCAATTACTGTCAAAGAGACAAAGTAGAGAAGGCAAAATTATATTTAATCTGAGTCTTAGAGTAATGCTATTACTCTAGATTAATTTAGAAGTAAGCTTGATTTGGTCTCCAGATAGGCCCTTCACGTGGCTCATCCTCTGAGAAGTCCATGCTACTGAGGGCAGGCAATAAGACAGCAACAAGATGGAAAAAGGAGATGCTAATAAGGGTGAACATGGACAAGAATAACAATTATGTGGCTAATAGGATATAACAGTCAATGTGTGATGGAAAACCAAGGTGGACAACATAAGCATGTATTATACAATATACTCAAGTCCCAAAGCATCAGTGTTAGTTATCATTTTATGGGAGGGTCAGAAAGTATAGATAGAAAAAGGATAAAAGAAGTTCAAACTACGTCCTTATAGAAATTTTCATGAGAAAAAGTACACAGCTGCCTGTCTGTGACTTTACAGGGCACTCTTATTTGGCAGCACTTAGTAAGCATTTGGCACTGACCACTTCCAGATAGGGAGACAAAAATAAGTGTATTCCCCTGGCAAAGTATTTAGGCATCTCAGTTTTGACAGCTGCTTCCGACCTATGAAGACAAGAGTTTATCTGATTCACACAGTTACAGTAACTTCTGACGAAAGAAGGAGGGAAAGACATACCTGTGCATTCCTGCCCTCAGGGAGGCAGAGTAACGCCAGTCAGGGTTGGGCTGTCGTGGCTGCAAAATCACAAAGGGAGTCTCTGTTAATATGGCAAAACAATGATCTCCTAGTGATGATGTTCACTGGTAAGTTGGTTCTTAAATATCTCCATGCATCTATTGAAAATATTGAAGTTGCCATTTCACATGCAACTCTAAGATGATATCCACACATACAGCACTTCAGAAGAAAATTAGTTCATCAGGGTCCATGCACAGATTAAATATCATGGAAAACTGAATTTAATGATGCTGTGAGGACCAGCTTTGGCTTTGCCTTGCTCCAAACAGGTCTATGTATTAACAAATACACACTACTGTGTGTACATAAAATAGATAAACAACAAGGACTTACTATATACCACAGGGAACTCTATTTAATATCTTGTAATAACCTAAAATGGAAAAGAATCTGAAAGAGAATACATATGTATAACTGAATCACACAGTACACCTGAAACTAATACAATATTGTAACTAAACTATATTTCCATTAAAAAACAAAACACAGGTCTATGTTCCTAATGCAGCACTTATGGAAGGATAGTTTGTTCTGAAACAGGAAAAGTTTTCATTGCTTTTGCCTTCAAATGCCCCATTAAGGCAACATCCCCAGTTTGGTATTCTAGTTTATAACAGGGCACAGGACTACACAAGTTCTGCTGGTCTGGCTGGACTGCAGAGTACTGCAATCTGCTGCTGGCTTTGCAGACTGCAGCATGTTTGACCCTGGACGGATGTGCCCAGTCATAATGCCAACAACTGATAACAGCCTCTTCTGCTGATCGAAGAGGAATACAAGGGAGAGGAAAGCAAACCGTGGCAGGGTTTGACCTTGTTGTACTGCATAATCCCTTTGATAAAATTGTACTTGTTTCCTGCTCCTCTGAGTGCTTTGCCTTCTTATTCAATTACTGTTCTCTAAGCTCTGCTTAACAGGAGCAGCTGAGACCTAAGAAGAACCTGACTCACTCTGCACCACCTATGTGTTGGAAAGATGTATTGCCCTGTGTCTACAAACTGTCAATTCAGAGTGAGGGGGACACAGAGGAAAATGCCGGCATCAGAAGACTGTTCTGGGAGTTATGTGCCGAGCAGGAGCTACTCAGGAGTCACCGGGACAAAATCAATCACCACCACTATTCTGGTAACAATTAGCAAAATTTTTATTAAGTAAAACCTGTGACAGATGTTCCTCTCGATGTGTTTTCATGAACAGAGATTAAAGTACTTCTGTCAATCTATAAAAATGGTACTGATGAACCTATTTGCAGGGCAGGAATAGAGATGCAGATGTAGAGAAAGGACTTATGGACACGGCAGGGGAAGAAGACGGGGGACAAACCGAGAAAGTAGCACTGACATGCATACACCAGCATGTGTAAAACAGACAGCTAGTGGGAAGCTGCTCCACAGCACAGGAAGCCCAGCTGGGTGCTCTGTGATGACCGAGAGGGGTGGGATGCGAGAGGGGAGGGAGGCTAAAGAGGGAGGAGATGTACATATATACACATATAACTACGGCTAATTCACGTTGTTTTACAGTAGAAACCAACACAGCATTGTAAAGCAATTATCCTTCAATTAAAAGTAAATTTTTAAAAAAGTATCTGGAAAAAAAATAATAAAGAGGTCCTGTCACTGAATACTGAAGTCTATTTGAGTGGAAAGATGAAGAGATAGAGGTTGTATTTTGTATTTTCCTCTGGACTATAATTATCATATTTGGTAGACACAAGGCCACAGTAATGGCAATAAACTATTTCAAAATGTCAGTTAAGTCTTGATCCTGTCATTCTTATAGTTCATTCAAGGGATACACAGTATTTCATAAACATATTTCTTCACAACATCCAGCAAAGAAGTGGTCAGAATCTCAACTTCCAGGCAGACTTTGGGATGGTTAGATGATAATCTGAGATTTAGCCAAGTCAAGGCCCAGAAAAAGCTACAACTCTAGGATACTTTTGCCTCAAATGTCCCCATACACTAACTGCCCTCTCTAGTCCCTTCCATTCTGTTGGCAAGATACGAACATAAAAGCTGCTTCACCCTTGGTTCTTGAGTTCACAAACTGCTATTGATATTCCTCATAAAGTAGCATAAAACTATCTACAGATGAAATGAAGGGTTCCCATTTTCTATCAGTGGTAGTAGAGGGAGCAACAGAGAAAATAATTGCAACCATTTGGTAAACCTGAAAAGTGATCAAAATACTTTTTATTAATCATGTCATCACTGGCTTTCCCCTGACAATCAGTAGCACTGGTGTCAGCTTGTCAGCTATGAGACCCTTCCTTCAAGAAAGTCTCTGACAGCTGTTGAGTAAATGCTGCCAATTTTTCTATGACCGGGTAACATCCATGATGAAAACTGCTGATCTTGGGAACAAAATCACCAACTTCATTTTGCTGAAAGGCACAGTTCTGGCAAGATTGACCAGGAAACTCAGTCCATTACATAATCTCACTTCCTCAGCAACGTGTAATTTGTCATGCTGCTATTTTCTATACTAATTCTTCAGCGACATGATGCTTCTGAGATTTATTTACGAGAATCATAGTTATGATACATCTTACAGCAACGAGATCAGGCAGGGAAAAGGTAAGGAAGAAAGTACTTAATATGTTTTATGTATCCACACAATACTAGGCAATGGGATAAACACTTTATACATATTACTGCATTTATCCTAACACCTTTGTTAGGCCATAATCTCTATGAAAGGGATTATATATTTGTTTATAAAACATATAGATAGTCTCAAATATTCATAATAATAGTTATATCCTCAGAAGCTAGTAAGGTTCAGTTATTGGATAGGCTTTTAAAATCCTTTCAAATAAATTAACTACCAAGCAATGGCAACATTATCATACTTAAATTACAAAAATTAGAAATCTGGAATTTTAGAGAGATTAATTGCCTGTCTCATAAGTAGGTCTGGCTGATAGTCATGTTTAGGTACCCCTAATGTGAAGAGAACTTCCCTGGTGGCTCAGATGGTAAAGCGTCTACCCGCAATGCGGGAGACCTGGGTTCAATCCCTGGGTCAGGAAGATCCCCTGGAGAAGGAAATGGCAACCCACTCCAGTACTCTTGCCTGGAAAATCCCATGGATGGAGGAGCCTGGTAGACTACATCCATGGGGTTGCAAAGAGTCAGACACGACTGAGCGACTTCACTTCACTTAATGTGAAAGTCATTATATATTATACAGTGGAAGTGACAAATAGATTTCAAGGGATTAGATCTGATAGACAGAGTGCCTGATGAACTATGGACGGAAGTTTGTGACATGGTACAGGAGGCAGTGATCAAGACCATCCCCAAGAAAAAGAAATGCAAAAAGGCAAAATGGTCGTCTGAGGAGGCCTTACAAGTAGCTGTGAAAAGAAGAGAAGCAAAAGGCAAAGGAGAAAAGGAAAGATATACCCATTTGAATGCAGACTTCCAAAGAATAGCAAGGAGAGAGAAGAAAGCCTTCCTCAGTGATCAATGCAAAGAAATAGAGGAAAACAACAGAATGAGAAAGACTAGAGAACTCTTCAAGAAAATTAGAGATACCAAGGGAACACTTCATGCAAAGATGGGCACAATAAAGGACAGAAATGGTATGGACCTAACAGAAGCAGAAGATATTAAGAAGAAGTGGCAAGAATATACAGAAGAACTATACAAAAAAGATCTTCACGACCCAGATGATCACGATGGTGTGATCACTCACCTAGAGCCAGACATCCAGGAAAGTGAAATCAAGTGGGCCTTAGGAAGCATCATTACAAACAAAGCTAGTGGGAGGTGATGGAATTCCAGTTGAGCTATTCCAAATCCTAAAAGATGATGCTGTGAAAGTGATGCACCCGATATGTCAGCAAATTTGGAAAACTCAGCAGTGGCCACAGGACTGGAAAAGGTCAGTTTTCATTCCAATCCCAAAGAAAGACAATGCTAAAGAATGTTCAAACTACCATACAATTGCACTCATCTCACACACTAGCAAAGTATTGCTCAAAATTCTCCAAGCCAGGCTTCAACAGTATGTGAATCATGAACTTCCAGATGTTCAAGTTGGATTTAGCAAAGGCAGAGGAACCAGAGATCAAATTGCCAACATCCATTGGATCATTGAAAAAGCAAGAGAGTTCCAGAAAAACATCTACTACTGCTTTATTGACTTGCCAAAAGCTTTGACTGTGTGGATCACAATAAACTGTGGACAATTCTTCAAGAGATGGGAATAAAAGACCACCTGACCTGCCTCCTCAGAAAGCTGTATGCAGGTCAAGAAGTAACAGTTAGAAGTGGACATGGACCAACAGACTGGTTCCAAATAGTAAAAGGAGTATGTCAAGGCTGTATATTGTCACCCTGCTTATTTAACTTATATGCAGAGTACATCACGCAAAATGCTGGGTTGGATGAAGCACAAACTGGAATCAAGATTGCTGGGAGAAATATCAATAACCTCAGATATGCAGATGACACCATCCTTATGGCAGAAAGTGAAGAACGACTAAAGAGCCTCTTGATGAAAATGAAAGAGGGAAGTGAAAAAGTTGATTTAAAACTCAACATTCAGGAAACTAAGATCATGGCATCTGGTCCCATCACTTCATGGCAAATAGATGTGGAAACGATGGAAACAGTGAGACTTTATTTTGGGAGGCTCTAAAATCACTGCAGATGGTGACTGCAGCCATGAAATTAAAAGACGCTTGCTCCTTGGAAGAAAAGTTATGACCAACCTAGACAGCATGTTAAAAAGGAGAGACAGGTAATGTCTAGACAGACTAGGTCTGTCTAGTCAAAGCTATGGTTTTTCCAGTAGTCACATATGGATGTGAGATTTGGACTATGAAGAAAACCGAGCACTGAAGAATTGATACTTTTGAACTGTGGTGTTGGAGAAGACTCTTGAGAGTCCCTTGGACTGCAAGGAGATCCAACCAGTCCATCCTAAAGGAAATCAGTTCTGAATATTCATTGGAAGGACTGATGTTGAAAATGAAACTCCA